CAGGAATGTTATAAGCATTCAATATAGATTAGCTATTTATTATTATTATTCCTATATTCTCTATCATCACTTTTTCTATTTCTGGACTTTTCTACTCCACCGATCTCCTCCTCAATACCCTATTCCTGATACTAGTTGATTGGCAGCTAGCATCCACTAAGATGCATTAGAATAATAAATATTACTCAATATTTTTAAAAGGGTGCACTGAAAAAGTTCAAGGACCAAAAGAGTAGCAAGGAGTGGAATTACATATTAGATATTGGAATCTTGTTAAATCTCACACTTTGGTTGACCGTCTGTGTCTTCAGATATGTGTATGGAAATGAGTTGAGTTTGTCTAGGATTTAGACTTAAGATTTAGGACTTAGCCTTAAGATTCACCTAAGTCTGTGGTTTTTAACCCTGGATGAATATTAAAAACCAAAAAGATTTAAGACAAAATCCCTGAAGCTTGACCCTACCCAAGATCAATTAGATCAGAATCTCTGAGGGTATGACTTAAAAGCTCTGCAGGTGATTCTAACATGGAACCACATTTGACAACCACTGACCTAAGGTGTAAGATGGGTTGCAGGAAACTGTGGAGTCCAACACAAGTGGGTTTGCATCCCAGTCCTGACATTCATGAGCTGCATGACCTTGGACAAATACCTTACTCTCTCTGAACCTCTGTTTCCTTCTCTATCAAATGAGAATGATAATTGTTATTTTCCTGAGATTTTGTAAGAAGCAAACAAAAATCCATGCAATGCACTTCACGTAGCTGGCTTATGGAATGGGCTTGTTAAATATTTGTTAATTAAATGAACGACAATGGCCAATCACAGCGACACTGGGGAGCAGAGTTGATAATATCCAATCACCAGCCGGGACCACTTGGCCTCATCTGTGTTTGGGTTGTTGACTCCTATGCTTACAGGCCTAAGTCCACTGCACAGAGAAGGAATGAGGCCTGAAGGGAAGGTTTGCTCCCAGATAATTTAGTCTATTTACTGATCAAAAAGACCAGGTCTAGGGGAGAGCAAAGGCTAAAATTCAATCCTTCTGGTGATCAAGTCTTGTGCCCACAGGGCTGGGCCAGTCTAGAGAGCTGTCTTTTCTAATCAGCCCTCCCGGGGTGCGGGAGGGGGAGCATCTTATTCTAAGTCACAGAAAAGTGCTTTATATCTCTGGACCAGCATGCTTTCTAGAGATGCCAGGAGGCGCTCATGTTGTCCACTGTGCCAGCTTATCATTCTGGACTCGACTATGTCAGCCACCAGCCCAAGTAGGCAGAAGGTGGGGATGTGGCAAGCGAGGATGGCATAGTTGTTTGGAGCAGAGATGTCAGACACTAACTTGGTGGAACAGTAGGTTCCTCTAGGTAGTAAGAGGCCTGGATTCTGGCCAGATTTGCTTGTCATGTGCCAGCATCCATGCTCTCGTTCTACGAATGTGTTCATCATTCAGGATATTTGAAGAAACAGCAGGGTTCTTTGGTCACACAGCTTCCCATTCAAAGATAGTGGGCTAGGAAACTAGTATTGGGATAGACACTTTAAATCTTTATCTCAGCAGTTAAGAATCTTTTTAAAAACCTGCTGCTACCTGCAACACTTTCTCACTCTTTCTTCTGCTCAGCGCCATCAGTCTAGAAGATTTTGTGGGCGCGACTCTTCGTAGTTTGTGTTATGGAAACAATAGGTCTACTGAAATGTGCTGAGATACAGATATGCCCCCGCTTCCCCCGCTGGGGGGCTTGGATGAGAATCCTGGTGACTCATGAAACCCTCTGGACCTTCACTTTAGATGTCTAGAGATGGCAGCATCCAGATTTCAGCCCAACCCTTTGAATGAAGTCTGTGATCTCTCCGTGTTAATAGTTAAACAAACAAAGGGATTAGCAGCAACAAATTAGTTTTACAAACATAACAAATGGAATCTGAATTTCCAAAGTACAATTTCATGTCAGGAGTGAGAGAAAATTAATTTTTTTTCCTGAGCAGTAAGTCAAAATACATTTTTATAAGCCAGGTTGACTCTTTTTTTTTTTTTTTTATTTTGGTTTGCAAATGAAATGGGTAGCTACCTTACTAACTTGTCAAGCCAGAGAAAAATGTGAAGATTCTTTGCAAACCAAAGGGCTATGCAAGGGCTATGCAGGTTTTAGTTTTTAGATCAGGGCTACTCGACTTGGGGTTCACAATCACTGGGGACCCCATGGATGAGGTCCCCAGTGATATTTGCAGGCAAAATTTTGCATGTATACACATATATGATCATCTTTAGGGAGAGAATACATAGCTTTCATCAGATTCTTAAAGGTGTGTGTGACTCAAAGAAGATTAAAAGCCACTACTGTAGCCTGACCCTTCATGTCATTTGCTAGTGAGACCAAAGTAATGATTTCAGAATTCAAAATTCCGAATTCAAAAACCATTCTCTGCAACTCTCTTTGCCTATCCTGGGAACTCATGGGAAATGTAAAAGGAAATTTTCCAGGGGAAGAAAAATTGAGTAAGGATCCCATCTTCCCAGTGGCCATGGGCCTTGGAATTCACCCGGGCATTCCCATCTCCAGCTGGAGAGAAAAAGAAAGAAGGAAAGTTTTCCCTCTCACGAAGGAACTCCATC